ATGCAATAAAAACAGTTTGATTTTAGTTTGAAAAACATACGGTCTGTCATTTACTAATTTCACTTTCTCTTCTACCCGAGTGAGTCCGGCTTTTGATAAGCATTGCGACCCGAGGTCTCATACTTTCCACTTTACCCTTCCTCCCCGACAAGCCGTGCACTCACCCGATAGTGCTTTATATATATACAGTAAGTCTCCGCTAAAGTACATAACATACCTCTTCACCCGATAACTACATCGACGGTAGACCCGATCGCCACCCGAAGATCAGGTCTCAAACTACCGTTCCGTACGGTTCGTCATAAGGTGTTCACATCTCAACACCGCGCGCTCACACCTCTACCCATAACAACTCTCACTTGTCCAAACTCTTCACTCACTGGATCGGCTCCGGTGATAGTCCCGAACTTTTCCTTCACAACAGCTCTTCCTCTCATCAATAGCTTTCGATTGAATCACTTTCGGGCAATATCAAAACTATAGTTTTAGAGCTATCGTTTCCCGAAAATCTATACATTAATATCCCGTAGACACAGTCTTTGTCCACTGGATCAGCTCCAGACAAAATCCCGAAGTTTTCCTTTCGATGAGCTATTCTTCTCATCATATTCTATCGATCAACCAATTTCTAACAAAATATGAGGTGTAGTTTTCGAGATATCGCTTCTCGAAAATCGAAACATAGATTACTACACGCGCGCCCTCTCTGAACACCACTCATCAACACAAGAACCGTCACAATTGAAAATGAAAAAACATGTTTTAAATAATAATTGATCTCAAATTCCTGGTTTATTTATATTGGTAAATTAATGTTATTAATAATACAGATAATACATACATGTTTTAATTTTATAGTTAGCAAACTAAAAAACAAATCAAATAAATAATTGTAAATACATACAGGTAGTGTTTAACAACCAGATTAGCAATATTATATATAACCAAGGGCAAAATCCAATACGGCAAACGCTGACAAACCGACCCACATGCCCACCAACCCTCCAAACGTGCCGATAAACTGGACAAAACTGATTTCGGGTATGTGCTCGGTGATCTGATCGGGCAACTGATTGTGTGCCATACGGACATGTGTCTGCTTAGTCCAGGGCGAATGGCCGGGCAGCTTATCGCTGGTCTTAACGTTATAGTTATAGTACCTATTATTGCACTCTTGCGGACACTTGAGTTCGCACTCGCCGTTCACTCGGGAGGCGTGCTGTCGGAAACATGCCCTCCGGTCTACTGTACGCTCAAACGCTTGCTTATCAGCCCCGGCCAGCGTTGCTTTTATTGTACCAGGCTCGTATTTGGCGCATATGCGATCATCTGCCAGGGGTGCGCCCGGTCCCACCAACTCCTGTCGCCATAGACTATCCGACCGGTACAGGCATAGGGTTGCGTTGTGCTGTTGCCGTTTGCCGAGACCTTTGCCCACCTTGCCAATTTTACCTGTGCTGGTGTTGACGCTACCGGTGTTATCGCTATTACCAAGAGGTTGGCCCTGAAGTGGTGACAGTTTGTCTGCATCGCAAGTCTTAAGCAAACCGTCGTAAACGCATTGATTAACGCAGTCGGCCCGGAGCTGATAGTCACCCGCCCTGGTGCTTTTTAAATCATACTCGCGACATTTGGTGTCATACCTAGGTGGTAATAGTATGGTTTTCCACCGGTTGTATGTCATTTCGTACCATTTGCCCGTTTTTAGTCGCACAAAATTGTTGGGTGACATTGCCTGGGGCAGTATGTTTGGCGAGTGCATTGACAGGTGCACGTGCGCCCCACCTTCGTACAAGCTAGGTGGGAACCACGATTCGTGCTGATAAATGTTTATATTCATTTCTTTCAAATCTGCATAGATTGTATTTTTAATTAATAATTTTTATTACAAATATGTCAAAGAAATTATTGTGATTTAAATAATTATTTTTTCATAATTAAATTTTACTTAAAAACAAAATAATGTAAAATTATAAGAAAATTCATACCGATCTGGTATTCTCTCCATTTGGGTTTCATTTGACTGAAAAATGTAAAACACTTTAACCCCTGCCGGCCGTCTGGAACCACCAGTGACTCAATGGGCTCAGTATCGGTAATCTCGATCACATTGAGGGTCTTATTATTATTAAACAGCCTTATCGCATTAACGTGTATATCGATAGCAAACTCGGTTAATTTGTCCTTGTTGAACAAACTTGAACTCCGGTTCCCATAATAGTAGGGTATGCTCAGGTCAAACAAATCGCGCAGTCGGTGCTCTTTATTAATCAACGCTGTTACATTGCCCTCGTACAAATCATTAAGGTTCGTGGTCACGTTGTTGTCATGATAGCTAA